GTTTAGAAGCCCACAACAACAACACCAACAACAACAACAACGGATACAATTCGTTCGGAATTGAAACTGGGCGCAAATTACGGCGTTGTTTTTACAATGAACATATACGTAACAGTTGTAATTTTACATATTAATATCCAACATTATCTTTTTTGTATGTTTTAGTAAGAGTAAATGTTACCGAATTTCTCCTGGTACCAAATAGTCATCTGTTATAGTGATACAAAAAAGTGGTAAAAAACCAAAAGCCAGAGAAAAGAAACATTAGGTTAAATATTCAAAGTAATTTAGGTTTCATGCCCATCAAAGACGAACCAAATTGTAGTCTAGAAAAAATGATCCTTACCCAAAAATGTGCATTTATGAATAAAGAAATTAACCAGAAAAATAAATAAATTAACAATGTACTGTATTCAAGAATTTGAGTTGTGATAAAGAAAAATAATATTAATATTAATATATTTTTTCTCTCAGACATATACATAACTCGTTCCAAAAAGCTTTAACAAAATATTCTCTTTTTTTCAGGTTGTTATAGGTTCACTCTCCTTATAATAATAATAATAATAATAATAATAATAATAATAATAAATAGCACTGGTTATATTGTACTCTTTTAGTTTTAATGAAGCCCCAAAATATGATTTAAATACTATATCTCAAAACACAATGATTTATTTCTGTTAATAATATTTTGATTATTTTATGTGGTTTATTTTTTCTATATTAAATTATAGAATCATTTATGTAATAATGAACATAATGAAGTTGGACAATGCATTACAGAAAAGAGATACCACTTTAATTTAGGGTCCAATTCTCACTATAAACTAGTTATTAGCATGCATATTGGCTGTTTATTAGTACTTATAAAGCATGCTTTATTCTGCATGACCATGTTTTAGATCCCTTAATCCTTAAACCCAATACCTAAACTAACTAACTATTAATAAGCAGCAAATTAGGGGTTTATTGAGGCAAAAGTTGTAGCTAACGGTTAGTGACTACTGGTCCACAAACTAAAGTGTGGCCACTATTTGTGCTACAAACCAGTGTGCTTATGACAAGCAATTAAAATAATATGATACCAATTAGCAGTTTGCGATATTGAGCACTTTTTGGTAAAATAACTGGAAGCGAATGACGCCGGAAGCCTCACACATTCAAACTACAGATGCCTCTTGTGTTAAAAATAAAATCTTGACATATATATATATATATATATCTGGGGAATAAGAGATTTAATTAAGTGAAAACAGCAAAAGTGTACAGCATATACACACACACACAGATATTTATAATGAAAATACTAATTTATTTAAATGAATTGCATATAAAGTTCTGAATGTATACAGAGATTAAAATACATAAAACATCATATACAGATTGTCTGACTGTCTTAATTAAGCAGATGTGTTTGGCTTCTTATGCATTTGTTCCTGAGTGTTTGAATGCATTTGGATGTGCAATGCAACACAATTATTAAAGCAGTAAACCAGTCTGGAAATTAATGTGTTGGTTTAAAAACTAGTTTATATTTATAGAGTGGCTGATTTGTAAACAACCATTTTATTTTGTATGAATATTAAGATATAAATGATACAAATATTTATTAAATGATTTGAGATGCACTTCGTCACTATACAACACACTGCTGCTCAAAAGTTTGGGATCAGTGAGATTTGTAATGTTTTTAAAGAAGTCTCTTCTGCTCATCAAGGCTGCATTTATTTGATCAAAAATACAGAAAAAAACGGTAATCTTGCAAAATGTTATTACAATATAAAACAATGGTTTCTATTTTAATATCCTTTAAAATATAATTTATTTCTGTGATGCAAAGCTGAATTTCCATCATCATTACTCCAGTATACAGTGTCACATGATCTTCAGAAATCATTCTAATATGCTGATTTATTATTAGAATTATCAACAGTTGTGCTGCTTAATATTTTTTTTGGAACCGGTGATATTTTTTCAGGATTCTTTGATGAATAAAAAGTTAAAAAGAACAGCATTTATTCAAAATATAAATCTTTTCTAACAATATAAATCTTTGTCATCACTTCTTATCAATTTAACACATCCTTGCTGAATAAAAGTTTTAATTTCTTTAAAAAAAATAAAGACTGTTGAACGGTAGTGTATATTGTTAGAAAAGATTTCTATTTTAAATAAACGCTCTTCTTTTGGACTTTTTATTCATCAAAGAATCCTGAAAAAATATCACCGGTTCCAAAAAAAATATTAAGCAGCACAGCTGTTGATAATTCTAATAATAAATCAGCATATTAGAATGATTTCTGAAGATCACTTTATACTGGAGTAATGATGCTGAAAATTCAGCTTTGTATCACAGGAATAAATTAGATTTTAATGTATATTAAAATAGAAAAACGTTATTTTACATCATAATAATACTTCACAATATTACACTTTTTCCTGTACTTTTGATCAAATAAATGCAGCCTTGATGAGAAGAAGAAACTCCTGTAAAAACATAAAAAATCGTTCTGATCCCAAACTTTTGACCGGTAGTGTATATATATATATACACACACACACACAGTATATCATGTGAAAATGAGTATATTGAAAGAAAATGTGAACCCTTTATTTTGCACGTAATATTTTACACATCAGTCAGTTTTCCCGTCTTTCCGGCTCTCTCTGTCCAACTGCACTCCGGACAGTCTCTCTGTGCTTTCTCTCTCTCGGCTCCTCTTCTCCGTGGCTCGAGCCACAGCTTCATCGAAGCACATGCTGATGCCGCTGTTCCTCTGGGCCTCTCTGTCTGCGTCTCTCCTGCGATCCGCTCCACCGTCCCATGCTTCTCGTCTCTCTCCGGGACCCTCGGTGTCGATCTCTGCGCTTTCGTCCTCGTCTCTGTGCGCCGTTTTAGTTTCCGCTGCGTGTTCTTGGTCGGCTTGCGCTGCTTTATCGTCGTGTTGTCGGTGCTGAAGCTGTTTTCTGAGCGTGAACGCTGTGAGTTTGGAGGTCTGAGGTCTGGGAGGGACGGCAGGAACCGCTTTCGTGGCATTCGCAGCTTTGCGTGGAGAACGTTTGCGAGGCGCCTCTTTGCTTTCTGTTTGTTCGTGTTGCATCTCGTCTGGACGCTGCACGAGTGTGGACTTCTCCGGATCATCTCCACCTTCAGGAGAAAGATCTCCCTCAGCAGAACTTTCTGTTTTTACGTTCACGTCCTCCTCAGAGTTTCCTTCACGGCTTTCCTTTAAATCTTCTTGTCTTTCAGCTTTGTTTTGGTCTTGTTCTCCTTCTTTTGTATGTTCTTCATCTACACTCTCAGATTCTCCATTATTCTCCTTTGAATTTTTAGCTTCTTGTTCTTCTTCTTTTGCATGTTCTTCATCTATTTCTTCACATTCTCCACTGTTTTTCTCTAAATCGTATCTTTTGGCTTCTTCTTTAGGTCCATCTTTTGCATTTTCCTCACAATCTCTACTATTTTCATCTAAATCTTCTTTTCTTTCAGCTCTGTTTTGGTCTTGTTCTCCTTCTTTTGTATGCTCCTCATCTATTTCTTCACATTCTCCACTGTTTTTCTCTAAATCTTGTTTGGCTTCTTCTTTTGATCCATCTTTTGCATTTTCTTCACTATTTTCCTCGAAATCTTCTTGTCTTTCAGCTTCGTTTCTGTCTTGTTCTCCTTCTTTTGTAAGTTCCTCATCTACCCTCTCAGATTCTCCACTATTTCCCTCTAAATCTTCTTGTCTTTTAGCTTCTTGTTCTTCTTCTTTTGCATGTTCTTCATCTATTTCTTCACATTCTCCACTGTTTTTCTCTAAATCGTGTCTTTTGGCTTCTTTTTTAGGTCCATCAATTGCATTTTGCATTTTGTTGCTGTCCTCACACTCTTCTCCTTCATTTTCCTCCATATTCCTCACAACTTTCATAGTTTCTTCAGTCTTCTCATCCTCCTCCGTTTGACCCTCCTCGGTCTTTGTTTGGTGGATAATCAGTGTTTGTTCCTCTGGCGGTTGGTCTTGAGGAGTCAGCGAGACGCGGTCTGCATCCGTGAGCTCATCTGTGATGGTTACCTCACTGTTACCATGGTAACCGTCAGCATCCAGCACCTGCTGAGCATCTTCAGCCGGAGACAGTGCTGGGATGGGCTCAGGAACGCTGGTGCTGTCGGTCTCAGTTTGGTCGGGTTCTGGTGAAGAAGGAATCGAGTCCGGTCCAAAATAAGTGTCTTCTTCACTGGCTTCACTCTCTGGAGCATCTTCTCCTCTGTACACATACAAAAGTCAATTATTACACAAACACTAGACAGTTTGTGTTGTTACAAACCCATATTATTCTCTTTCTGCCTTGAAACACAAATGTAAGCTAGTAGAGGAGAATTAGATTGTTCAGGTTTATGCTTTCCATAAAAACAAAGCATACCGGTGACAGCCATCAAGCTACAAAAACAACCATAATGCATGATAAAATAAGTTTTTATTAATACTGGGAAGATTTTCAGTCTGTTAATTAAATGATTCAAAAATGTGTTTAGAAAATAATGAATGATTGATAATTAAATTAATCAGAATTTAATTATTAATAATTAATAATTGAATTAGGGTTGCAAATGGGTGGGAAATTTCCGGTAAATATCCGGAAACTTTCCAAAAATCCCTGGAATATAAAAAAACAATCCTGGAATATTTCCGAAATTTACTGGAAATGTTCCACCTTTTTGCAACCCTAATCAGAATTGACCCAATATTTGTGTGTGCTATTTTTGTGTGATATATATTTAATTAATAATTATTTAATTTATTATTATTAATTATATTAAATTAATAAATTAATGTAAATATTAATGTAAGAGTGTATATATATATATATATATATATATATATATATATATAAAAGAAGCTCAGAAGAGAGAGCTCAGAAACATAAAAAGGCCTGGAAGTGTGCAGAGGACAACAGTGTTGGATGACTGGAGGATCCTCTCCACGGTGAAGAAAAACCCTTTCACAACATCCAGCCAAGAGAAGAACACTCTCTAGGAGGCAGATGAGTCTCTGTGAAAGTCTACAATCAAGAGAAGGCTTCACCAGAGCAAATACAGATCCTGGAAAGTTTCCAAAATTTACAACAATTTTGCAACCCTAATTATGATGGTAAAAATGTTTAGTTGAAATAAATGTAATTTATATAGTAATATTTTATAATATTTTAATTCAAAATGTACATGTAAAATGCTTACATTTAATTAGTGCTTTAACTCACTATTGTTAACAATTTAATGATTTTAAATATAATTTTTGTAATACTTTTCCCAATATTTGTGTATGCTACGTATATATTATAATATTTTAATTTAAAAATGTTGTTTAAAATGTTTAATTAAAATATGTTTTAAAGGTAATGATTTAATTTCTTATTTTTAGTTATATAATTAATTAACTCTTTCCCCGCAGGCATTTTTGAAAAAAGTTGTCAGCCACTGCCAGCGATTTTGAGGATTTTCACTAAAATTTGATGGCCTCCAGTATATTTTGCTGTATGAATATTTGAATACACAATACACAATTGAATACAACTACTTTTAAACAAAAAAAGACAGTTTTATTATAGCTTAAAGCATTCTTTTTTATCAACACTTGAATATAGGTAGGTGTAGGGTATCAGACTGAATCAGACAATTTAAGATTCGATCAAGGACATGGTTGAAACACGAGGAGCCGAATTCCACAGAAAGGCCCAAGACACAGGATGTTCGTAAATCAGATCCTGGCGCCACAAGCCTGAAGCAAGTCCACCAACTAGCAGCTTTGAGTAGCTCACAGCATTTAAACAAATGAACACTTATTGACAATTCCAAGGAGATTGTAAATTTTGGGGCAAGTAATCAAGATTAATGGTTAGAGATGCACAGCATGACCATCACATGTAAACCAGTGATAGTAATCACGATCACGAGCTCTTTGGATTGACT